TAAGGACCCGTTTATTCTGCTAGTTACCCATAGCCCGGGAGAAGAGATGGGTTCAAACCTTTCCCAAGGTTATTAGTACGTAAGTGAACTCGAAACTTGGTTCTATTATTCGTCAATTCCAAACGTAATCATTTTACTCCATGAGGACTCGGTCTCTTCCCCACTGGCAAGACGTTACATTTGTTTATCTTTCCATATTAATTATTTTGATAGTCTTCCCTTTTTAGTAACACGTCTTTACAAAGTTAAGCGCAGTAGTAGATTGGCAGCTAGTTCTAATTTTGAATGTATAATGTAATCATAAGATCTATGCCAACAGTATCATGATTCACACATCTCGTTTGTGGATCCCTCTTCCGCCATCTTGTTTTCTGGTCAACTTCTCTTGTTCACAAACGTTTATCTGTCTTCTCAATTTATTTTCTTTTATTGATTTCTCTCCTTAATAATGTTTTTTTTTTCTTTTCCCATATTCATTCACGCCCAGGTAATATCCATCTTTCTTTCGGGCATTGAATATTGCTGCAATATCTCATCTAGTTTTTCTACTATAGCACCCGGGAGTCCTGTCAAAATATAAAGAAGCATGCGCAATGAAATCAGTACTGGTTTGGCATCCTGGATTCAGTCACTTTCCAAATACCTTTATGCGGCTTTCGTTCTATCTTTTCTACGAATATTTTCATGGCATATCTCATGATAGGCTTTCCCCACTGGTGCCTCAATAGCATGGTTTTAAGCCTACTACTGGATTGGCAATTAGGTCTCATTATTTTACTGTTGAACTAACGAGATTCAGTTGTATGTTCCATTCTAATAGTTTTTTTTCTTACACTGCTCGCATGTGGATCCCTCTTCCGTTTTCTTGCTTTCCTACCACATATAATATGAATAAAATTAAAGGCAACGTCAATCAACTTTCTTTCTAGCTCATGTTCTTTTATTGTCCTTTCTTTTGAATAATCTAATCACATTTTATTTCACTCCCAAAAACTTCTGTCATCTGAACGGCTTTATTGCCTTGCTTGGTATGAAATGATTAAAATTTCTTTTGTTAGATAACCAAACATTAAATCCTGAACCATATCGCATATATTGCGTATCTGTAAACCTATCACATATACTGCGATCTGGAAGTCATTAAAACTGACATAATAATAATTTATATTCGTTTATTAATTATTTAGAAAATGTATTAGAGGTGGAAAGCACGAGATATAAGTCATAATCAACTTCCGCTTTGTGGAACCAGTTGTAATGACAAGTGAATCATACTAAATGCGTGTCATTTAAGTATGAATTTGAAGAAAAAGATAATGTTCACAGCGAAAGGTAATGCGTTCACAAGGATAATGAAACGGACCTTAAAATATTTGCTATATGAGAGAAATAAAATTCTTGGCCAGAGATGGCATAGTCAATGTATTATTCATTTTGAGTTCTTAAAATTCATTTTAACAATAAATGAACGTTTAAAAGACTATTAGCTGCAAAGTGTCCATAGTTTCTTTTGTCTAATACACCTTGTGCTCGTCAGTCGGAAATAAAAAAAAAACATGTTCTAGAGCACACCGCATTAAAATCTAGAACAAAATAACACGGGGAAAAATACTAATTCGGTTGGAATTTTTCCTTCATCCTCTATAATATCCTGAGTGAGCATTAACAGATTATTACGTTTCGATGGCGGAAAAAAAGGCTTTGATGGGGAACATTTTCTCTAATGAGAACCAGATTCCTCGACACATTTGGGGATTTTTCTCAACCCTGGGGAATTTTACTCAAATGATATTGAATATTTATCAGTTATGTGACATTACTTTCCAAATAATATTGGATATATCTAAATATATAAAGGGTAAACTATGTCTGTCTGTCCGTGCATCTGAAATACCTCTAACTCTACATAGATATATAATAAATTTTTGGAATCAGGATGATCGCGGGATGCAACCAGTGTTTGAACAACCACAATTGGGAATTGTGTCAGGATGAGAAGGGTTAGGGTTAGGTTACAAATTCAAAATTTAAAATAATGGAAAAAATTAGTAATAATTTTAAGTAACATTAAATTTGTGAATTTTTTTTTTTTTTGTCTCAAATTCAATTTAAGTTATCTTCAAAACTTTGTAAATTGAGCAAATGAATTTTATTTCTTCAAAATGCCAATGAATCAGAGTTAAAATGTGAGGTTTCGTGAGGTTTCTAAGCTACTCAGAGTTTTTGGTCTGAAGATCTCAACTTAATTGAATTTCCAGAGTTTAGGATTTGAAGAACTCAAATTTCGGCCTGAACTGGAAGTTCCGCCCAAATGGAAGTTTCGTCCCAAATCGATATTTTGAGTGGAATTAGACTTATAGCCGGAATCAGAGTTAAAGTGAGGTTCTGAGGTTCCATGGAGTGAATTGAGGTATTCAAAGTTATTTCTTTGGAATTCTCATTGTAATCTTCTAAGCTGGACTAGAGATCAGTTTAGTTTTGGGCCAGAGGTACAATTAGACCTCCGCAGGAATGAGGGTTTTAAACTAGTAACTCAATAAATAGGAAATGTACTAAAATTTTTGTTAGAATAATTCAATAAGCAAAAACAGAAACTACTTATGGCTTCACTTACTACACTGCTGATATTTAATTCAGCTTACGACGACGAGCGGTACGCAAGAAAACAAGAAATCGAATTACGTTTCGTTATACAATTAAATATATGAATGATTTTACTCTGTGTTTATAAATCGGAGAATATTTCAAAAATATCCAGCTATCCAACTTTAAAACCAAAAAAATTGCCATAAATCCAGATCAGTGGACGTTGTATTCATATTCTTAACAAATTTCCTGCAAATTAGTAGCCAAATCACCGTTCCCGAACATTTCCTTTAATAATTTTCTTATATTTCAGAATTTAAAAATAATTCCGCAGACAATATCATTTTATTTACGGTAACTGGATGATTTAATGATTGCCTTAATCTGTTTGCGCCGTTCGATAGAGTGTGTTTGATAAAATTGCACTTTTATCGCGGTCACAATCGCCTAATGGCGTTTAGGCTTGGAACAAATTAAGCATCTCTCCTCAGGCGAATAAACTACATTTCGTCTTTCAGTTTTTTCTCTGTCCTCTGACAGAGGGTAACTCATTTGAGTCTCTACCAGTGGGGGAAAAGCTGTCGTGGTAGTACCTCACTCATTGCACTGGGGGGTAGTAATAATAATGTCATCGTAAACAAGGGTTTTCAGGGCAGGGCTATTGCACGGGCGTTAAACTGATTTTGTGTCACATTCAGATAACGTGTGCCTGCATGAAAATGCAGTCACTTTTTAGCCTTTAGATGGGATCAAAGTGTAGTATCTCCCCCCTTCGGGCGGATAAGCTACATTTCATCTTTCATTTGTATTTCTGCCTTCACATTGAAAATATTATTCAGACATGACCGGACTCAGGAATGTTCCTATATAATTACTCTAAACATTGGAGATCGGTATTAATACGAATATTAGCACAACTGACAGCTGTAAGGGCTTGGCCATTTTTGGATCTGGCCCCACTGCACGCGTCGGGCTCCTCATAATTAACTGACCTTGTGTCACATACTGCCAGCGTGGGTCAGCAAAAAATACAGTCGATTCTCGGACTTTTGTCTAGGATCAAAGAGCCGCGTCTGTTCTTCTCAGCTTAATCTAATTCCCTATATTCTTTTTTTATCTCTCCTTCTTTCTTTTATTTTCTCACTGAAATCAAATTTTTTTCACTTTCTCCACGCTATCAAAACGGAATAATCCATTATTTATGAGGTGTTGGCAATGAAACGTTGAACAAAACTATCTCCCCTTCTTTTTTCTTTCCTTTCATTTTATCAGTGAAACATAGTGATATCGTTCCCCTCTTTCCACGCCATCAAAATCTTATTGAATATTATTGAATATTATTTATGAGGTATTGACAGGGCGTAACGGTCGTACGAACTAAAGAAACGGGGACATTCAGAATTAGAAAAGGATGTTTGTGTGCGTGTCTTTTTTTTTTTTTTATTAATGTTCACCTAATACACGGTTTAAGTCATATTGAAGGTAGAAATTTACTAGATGTTGGAATGTTGTATGGGGAGAATGTTCCATATTATGAGGATATGTAGGATAGATAACGATTGGCCCTCAAGTGGAAGAGGGCAGGATTGCAGTGATCAGGGAAGCGTCCCCTTGTGAATTCGCTCCAAATTGTAATAGTTCAAGGAAAGGTGTTGGCTGTATAATAGTCTCTGCTTACCCATAGCATTTGAAGGGCATAAGGATGAGTTGATTCGGCGCAAGTGGCATGGTGGATCCGAGCTGTGAAAATCTGGACTGACAGCATCAAGGAATACAGACATGAAAATATTGATATGATGAGTTAGAAGCTAGTCAGGTTTCGTCTTTGGGAAAAATTTGAAAAGTGGAAAATATTCTATGAGCAATAAGGTCCGGCAGCATATACGATGTGCATTCATGATGTTTTTGAAATATATTGGGATACACAATTATGGGGTTCATAAATTGAAAGTATTTAGTATATAACTACTTCACATCTAAGTTGACTTGCCAAGTTTTGTGATTCCACTTTGAAGTAGACAGTTGTAAAAGCTCTTTTAACACACGCTACTAAACACTGCTTGTCATAGCGAACAAGTTTGCAGAATGTTATCAGGACGTGAAGAGAATTTGTAAGCTCGCTGTGCAATAAAGTTTAGTGTTAAAATGTGCAAAAAATGCTGTACAAATATAAGAAATGATCCAGAATGCTAAAGGATTAACTTTTATATTCCGATCATTTCTCACGAAAATGAAAGCTATTATAAATAATGTAACCATTTTAAAGCAACTCTATCAAATTCCTTCAAAAATAGCTTATCACGTTTGGTTTTATGAATACGCCTCAACGGGTGCGCAAGATCGCCTTATCAGGCGTATTATAACTTGGGCTCATGACAAGTTTCACGTCTTTCAACATCATACTTGTTAACAGCTTACGGTCAAATCACGCTGAAAACACCGGTTCTCGTTCGATCACCGAAGTTAAGCATCGTAGAGCCAGGTCAGTACTTAGATGGGGGACCGCTTGGGAACACCTGGTACTGTAAGGCCCCAAAGTCCAACCCTTACCACACAGTCGGTGGGGGGGTGTAAAACGGTAGTGTCAGAGCTATGCCGCCCGGAACTTCGTTCCTAGTAGGGCCACCCAAGGCGGACAGGTCTGACACACACGCCGGCTAACAAGGGCTCTGGTGAAAATCCAAGGAGCGTCTGCATCGGTAACCGGCGGCTTCTGGTCGTTCTGCGTCTCTGCGTCTGTGGGAATCCCGCGGCAAGCAAAAACGTTATCCGAGTAGGCCTGGGTACCCTACTTCTGTAATTTATCCCAAGAATATTCTTCTCATAACAGGAAGAAGCCGGCTCAATCCGCCCAGGGTGAATGCCGCATCAGTACAGTAGTACGGTATACTTGTTAACCCAAGAGGCCCTACCGAAACAATACCTATTCCGGCAGGCGATCCTGAATCAAATTACCACCACTTAGTGGTAATTTGATTCAGGATCAACAACAACGGGCATATATATATATATAACTGCGACTGGTGATCAATCAGAAACGGCCCAAGTTATTTCATGGTCAGCCAAGAAGAGACAAAAAGTGAACAAACTGAATGCTCATCTTTTCCCTCCTAGGGTCCAAAATGCGGAAAGCCCCACTCTCTCAACGGACACTGTTTGACATAACAGCTAATTTCTACTTGTCGCCAGGAAAGCCTTTTTTATATCTCCTATGAAACGATACTTTATTAAAAAAGTATTCATACACATTCTTTGATCGTAGTAAATACTGTCATAAATATATAATGACCTAAAATAAATAAATAAATCAATTAAATTTACAAAAATTTCACTGGTTACAATCTGTCTATAAGGTGGCATGATTAAAAAAAATATCTTCAAAAGCATATAATGAAAAATATGAAATTTAAATTTAAAATCCAAACCCACAAAATATTTTGAACGTTTTTAAACACGAGTCAATAAATACCGTTATTCCCCATGCTTAAATTCGTCTTTTTTGTAAAAAAAATGTTAAATACGGGGTGCGTATTATGCACAGATAGAAAAATATTTTAAAAATCGCCGTAACATAAAATAAGAATTATCATAAAACTAAATTAGAATTATTTTATTCTATGTTTAAAACCATCTTTAAATAAGAGTAGGAAACGCAGGCCGTAATGAAATTAGAGACGTACAATTTATAGGGTCTGATCATCAAACATGGGTGTGTATTACGCGTGAATAGAACCATTTTTCCAGACTTTCAGCACAGTTTTAAGGGATCGTATTATGGAGGAAGGCGTAGTATACATGGGGAATTACGGTATATATATATATATATATATATAAATATATATATATATATATATATACCGAAGTATATAATTGGTATATACGGAATGAATTCCAATAACCAACAATTACTATTCTTAAAAGAGTGCTCAATACAAAGTAGATCAGATATACTTATTATTTATAAAAAAAATTATAACATAAGTATGTTATAAAATCACTACAAAAATAGCCATTTTGTTTCAACACACTCGGTGTCTTATCAAGTGATGATGTTTCAACATCATCACTTGATAAGACACTGAGTGTTTGAAACAAATGGCTATTTTGTAGTGATTTTATAACATACTTATGTTATAATATTTTATAAATAATAATTATATATATATATATATATATAAAAAAGAAATATGTTGTAGTGGTTCCAACGAGAGAAAAGTATGTATATTGAAAAGAAGAGGGGTGCCGCAAACGTTTTTGGTTGTAATGTGGATTTATTGAGAAAAAATATTATACTTTGTTTTACATAATTTCACGACACGTGTTTCTGGTCTGGTCTCGCAACCGTCTTCAGGTGAAAGTGGAGATTTTTACATATTATTAAAAATAATTAATTTTTCTTCATGTTCAATGTGGAATATTCTCGATATGAGACATTCTGTTTGTGTGTTGGCAATCCGAAAGAAAATTCGGATTGCCAAAACACAAACAGAATGAAAACATTTTATAAAATATACATACAACAAACTATTTCCTAAGAAACTGGCATATTTCTCACAGGGTTCTACACTATTTTCGTTCTTCAATTTAAAACTATTTTGGCGAGATCAACATGAATAGTGATCCGAAAGTGTAAGGCCAGTTAATTTCGGCGTGTGTAATAGGGCATCCCAGAAAATAAGTACCAATTTCCGCCAGTGCTGTAAACAAACAAATGTCTATTTAACAATAAAGACCAACACTTTCAATGTTTTTATTTTCCCTTTGCATATCTTTCGATATATATTGTTGTAAGCAATCCACTTTTTACTGCCTGTGATTATTTTTTCTAAAATTCAACTTTTTAATACATTGTGCATAAAATCCCAAATGGAAATTCAGTCCATAAAATATTCCTCTGTCAAATTGTTAGGTCGCAAAACATTATAACAATTTATGGATACGAATGTTTTAAAAAAAAATATAACATTCATAGTAGACATGTCGAGTATCACGGCATCATTTCTTTTTATTCAAGGTTTCGATTTGGTCCACATCAACTACTGCAGATCTGTCAGCCTTCCTGTTCAGAGCCTAGCGAGCTGCATACTGAAAACTATCTCAGCTATAGCACCCTTCACCTAAACGACGCATATCTATTTTGCTATTTAATTTTTTCCAGGTTAAAAATGAAACCTATTTTTATCCCTTTTCAAAACAATTTAAATTCACAATCGCGAGGCCAATCATATAGAGTAAGACATTGGCATATTACCTTTCAGATTATATATATATATATATATATATATATATATATATATATATATATATGTGTGTGTGTGTGTGTGTGTGTGTGTGTGTGTGTATGTACACACACACCCATATATATATATATATATACATACATACACACATATATATATATATATATATATATATATATATATATATATATATATATATATACATGCGCGGAACTTATTGGAGAACGCTTAATATTAGTGATAGAGTTAATATATTTAGTTAGATTGATGTGAGTTTGGTTTCATTCTTTCGTGATCGTTAAACAAACTGATTCATTTTTAAAATTTTGGATTGATATGGGGTTGCGTATATAGGTGTTTTATGGAAGTGGGATGAAAAATTGGCGACGTGACGCCACTCTTACTTACGCAAACATACATACACGCCCGTACGTCCATGGGTGTATGAGCGTCTATGTATTTTTGCGTAAATTTGAGTCACGACGACACATTTTCGTCCGTGAGGAGAATGTCCAGCACTCACTGCCATATAGTACGACAGATATCAGAGAGGTCAGTACGATTTCCTTTGTTTCTAACGAAGTTTTTTTTTCTCTTGCTTAATAATCTGCTTAGCTTTTGGAAGGCATATTTGACTATCACAATGCGCTTTCTGGTTTCAGTGTAGCACTTTCTCCTTATGTTAAAACTCTTCGCAGATTATATCTTTTCTTTTATGGAATATGTAGCAACAGACACCGGCATTCAGAGAATTTCTGCCCATAGGGATTCATTGTTATTTATTCGGCATAGCCAGGAAACCACTTAAAAGAAATTAAACTCGCAAGAGGAACCGTTTAGATTGTTAGATCAGCTTCGTAAATACTACAATTTATTTGATGTCATCCAAGACTTTATTAAAAAGCAATATATAGAATGTAAGAATCCAGTCATTTTGTGGAATCACTGAACTAAGATATACGAGACTGACTCAAATAGAAGACTTTATAAGACATTTTACTCCAGTGCTCAAATTATGTGCAATTTCTGTTAAAAGCAAAGGGCTTAATGTGTCACAAAGAGATTAATGTTCATACATGAATGATGTTTTTTAACCAAATTCCGTTTCTCTTTGATATTTCTCAGATATTTTTTCGAATTGTTCTCTTTATTGATGTTTGTATTTTTTTAGTTTCTTTTCTTTTGTACCAGTTTATATATTTCTCTATTCTTATCTTTCTTTTTTTTTTATCTTTCAAGATTCTCCTTTTATTGATTTTTCTCTCATTACCTACATTTCTCTGCAAATGTCATGGTTTCTCCCCCTTTCTTCCTTTTCTCTTTCTTTCTCTTTAATTGTCTTCATTTCTTCCTCTTTCTTCCATTTCTTTTTTTCTTTCTTTTTCCTTTCCATTTTTTTTTTTTTCAATTGTCTTAATTTCTTCCTCTTTCTTCCATTTTTTTTCTTTCTCTTTAATTGTCTTCATTTCTTCCTCTTTCTTCCATTTCTTTTTCTTTCTCTTCAATTGTCTTCATTTCTTCCTCTTTCTTCCATTTTTTTTCTTTCTCTTCAATTGTCTTAATTTCTTCCTCTTTCTTCCATTTCTTTTTCTTTCTCTTCAATTGTCTTCATTTCTTCCTCTTTCTTCCATTTCTTTTTCTTTCTCTTCAATTGTCTTCATTTCTTCCTCTTTCTTCCATTTTTTTTCTTTCTCTTCAATTGTCTTCATTTCTTCCTCTTTCTTCCATTTCTTTTTCTTTCTCTTCAATTGTCTTCATTTCTTCCTCTTTCTTCCATTTCTTTTTCTTTCTCTTCAATTGTCTTCATTTCTTCCTCTTTCTTCCTTTTCTTTTTTTCTATTCGATTGTATTCATTTCTTCCGATTTCTTCCTTTTTTTTCTTTCTCTCCAATTGTCTTAATTTCTCCCTCTTTCTTCTTTTCTTATTTTCTTTCTTTCTCTCTTATTGATTTCATTCTCCCTCTTTCTTCCATTTTTCTTTTTACTTTTTTTTTCTGTCTATTTTTCTTTCTTTTGCCATTCTTTCTAGAGACCTTCTTTTATTTATTTCTCTCATTACCTCCATTTTTGCTTTTTTCTTCTTTTTATTTTCTTTATTTTGTTTTTCTTTCTTTTTCTATTTCCCTCTTTTTATCTTATCTTTCATAATCTTCCTTTCTCTCTCTTTCTGCATTTTTGAATTTTTTCCTTTTCTTTCTTTCTTTCTCTTTTTCTTTCTTACTTTCCTTCTTTCTTTCTTTCTTTCTTTCTTTCTTTCTTTCTTTCTTTCTTGTTTGCTTATCTTCTAC